TGATTCTAAAACACTCTGTAGCTTTTCAGGTGAAGCAAACCCCTCCATTGTTTGAGTACTTTCTGGTACAACTCTTTCACTTTGCTCTAGAAAAATCAATTCCCATCATGGTAGTACACGTCTGTAATCCCAGCTACATGGGAGGTGGAGACAGGAAGATCATGGTCTCAGGCCAGCCCAGGCAAAAAGTGCAAATCTCCATGTCAAAATACTTTTTAAAAAGATAGGGGCTGCTGGGTGCCGGTGGCTCATGCCTGTCATCCTAGCTACTCAGGAGGCTGAGATCTGAGGATCGCGGTTCAAAGCCAGCCCGGGCAGGAAAGTCCGTGAAACTCTTATCTCTAATAAATTACCAGAAAACCGGAAGTGGCGCTGTAGCTGAAGTGGTAGCGCGTTAGCCTTGAGCTGAAGAGCTGAGGGATAGTGCTCAGGCCCAGAGTTCAAGCCCCACGACTGACAAAAAAAAAAAGGTAGAGGGGTGTCTGGAGGCATGGATGAAGGTAGACAAAAAAAGAGACATGGGAAAGGGCCGAAAGAGGAGATTTATTATATGTTATTATATGGCAGCCATTGAAAGACAGCACTTTAGTACATCTTCAGGGCTGCAGATATTGGCTTCAGGTTAAATAGGGAGAATTGAGGCAGAAGATGAGAAAGGTAAGTATAGTTAAAAACAGGCTTGAGTCACAAGTATGGCCTGATTGGCCATTAGTTCTGTCTTTGTCCTTGGAGGAGTTCTGGAGAAGTTACTACTTTATTACTGGAAAAGAACAGGAACACAGTGGTTTTCTGAGTTTTGGGCTGTTTTCTTTCTTTCTGGATTTGAACTGCCAACCTCAGATCTCAGCCTCCTGGCTAAAGGGCTAAGGGCTGATTACAGGTATGAGCCACCGGAGCCTGGCTGGGCTGTTTTTTTTTTTAAATAATAAGAAAACATCACTAGTTTGAAGGGCAGATTGTCTTCTACACAACATGATAAATGAACTTTTTCTTCTTTCCTGCAGTTCAAGGTGAATGTACAGGGATGGGAGCAAGGAGTAGTTCAGATCAAATAGCACAGATACAATCGCACAGATACAATCGCACAGATACGGAGCAGGGGGAATTTTAGCTCATTCACACGGGCCAGTAAAAGCATGTTTTACTTTGCTTCTTACAGTCATAGAAGAGAAAGCAAACTAAGCTAATGACAAGCTTATATAGTTTAACTTTTGAAACCCCTACCTAAATTGAGATGTTGAATTGAATCCCCTTTGTACACTATTTAAAAATTATAATAATAGAAAAAATAATCCGGATACTGGTGGCTCATGCCTGTAATCTTAGCTACTCAGGAGGCTGAGATCTAAGGATCAAGGTTCAAAGCCAGCCCAGGCAGGAAAATCTGTGAGATTCTTATCTCCAATTAACCATGAGAAAACCAGAAATGGAGCTGTGGCTAAAAGTGGTAGAGCACTAGCCTTGAGCAAAAGAGCTCAGGGATAGCACCCTGGCCTTAAGTTCAAGCCCTTACAACCAACAAAAAGAAAACAAAACCAAACCAAAAAGCCCCTCTCTTTGATCAGTAAAGGATCATCATAGGGAATACATGATCCAGTCAGCCAACTGGACTTTCCAAGCAGGACTGTTGGTTTGTACTTGCTCCTTCTAGGCACGCTATTAGTCTTGCTGCATTTGACCTTGTTAGTAAATTTATTTCCCCTGTTGGCTTTTCTGCTACTAAGGTTCAATATATTATACACATATGTGTGTGTGTGTGTGTGTATAATTGTCCATTAAATACAGCTCTATTTCTGGTTTTTTGCTGGTTAACTGAACATAAAAGTCTATTGGAGAGGCTGGGAAGGTGGCTCAGTGGTAGAGTGCTTGCCTTGCATGCATGAGGCCCTGGTTTGATTCCTCAGCATCACATAAGGAGAAAAAGCCGGAAGTGGCACTATGGCTCAAGTGATAGGGCACTAGCCTTGAGCTGAAGAGCCCAGAGTCTGGGCTGGCTTGAACTTTGAACCTCAGATCTCAGCCTTTTGAGAGTAGCTAGGATTTCAGGCTTAAACTACCAGTGTCTAACATAATCCTATTTAATTGCTATGGATATGCCTTAGGGATGTTAGCGTATTAACTGCAGAGTCCAGAAGTCAAGTTGTATCCAATACATTTTATCTTGCAGTGTTCCTTTAAACAATTAGAGCTTGTTTACTCTCTGCAGTTGGGACAGTGCACACAGAAGTTCAGAGAGTCCAACAACCCTGGAGGCAATTTCTGTGAGGTCATGAACTGACTACCATCCTCTGCTTTAGACAACTTTGAAGCATCCTTAATCCTGACTGCTCCCTCTTCTTGCCTTTCAGAGACTCAGGAGACCCCCTGGATGTCTCTCCTAGCTTGTGGGGACCTTGCTTTTGAGTGGCTTCTGGCCCAGTCTGTCCCTTCATTCTACAGAGCTCTTCTCCTGAAAGGCCCTGTGACTGGAATCTACCTCCCCAGCTCCTGAGAGCCCTTATCATGGCCAGCATGGCCTCCCTCTCCTTCTCTCAGCCTCCCTCTCTGTCCACTCCTCTTAGGGCATAAAAACATGAAGACATGCCTCATATTTCCAAGGTCTCTCCCTGGAGTTTCCACCTCGCTTGTGATGGTTAACTGCCAAATTACACTCACTATGGAGGACTATGAAGAATCTAGTGTGTGGTAGGATCTTCAGTAAAAGAAGGACCAGATGGGTGAACACTACTGTACTACTATTACCTAGCTTTCCAAATTGATATTTGAATGAATGTTAAAGTTTTCAAAACCCATTTCTTCAACTGAATCTAGAAATACTCTTCTTCATGATCAAAATTCATAAAGAAAAAGATGACAAATAATTAACGTATGATGAATGCTATACTAATTCAAAGGCTCAAATATTTGTATGTGTGCATGTCTGCATAGAAATGGTAGCATGGCCTTGCAAGATGATAGGAATTCCCTTGGAGGTCTAACACTGCCTCATCAGCCTACAACCAGTCTAATAATAAGAGCTGGAGGGTTGACCATGTCTGAGAACAGAGACAATATTTGTGATAGGTCCTTTACTCTGTCAGCCCCAGTGACTGGGTCTCTAAGCCTCCATGTTCACAGAGACCAGCACAGTATGTGATATGCCTCTCCAGGGATGAGAGGACCTCTGCCCGTCTTCCACTTCCAGCCCAATATTGGTTTGAAGAGTTAAAACCATTATTGATATGCTGGGTTCAGATTCTGTGGTCCTAACACTAGGTTCAGACTCTGCCGTCCTAACCAAGCATTAGCTGAACTAATTCCTCAGATTTATTGCCTGGAGATAACAACCTTGCCCTTATAAATTCACTTCCTTTTTAAGTTCCATTATCTGTTCTCTTAGTTATTATGTCCCTTAACTTTCTTTTAGACAAGGCAAAGTCAACCAATGGATTTCACACCTTTTGGTTTTGACTGTTTGGAAGGAAGAAGGCTGGCAGGTGGATCAATGTTCTTGTTAAGATAATGTGCGTGTGGGGGTTTTATTCCAGGTCTGAGAGACTTGGAAGGCCATTTGAACCTCCCCCCATGATAGCAAGAGCACTGAGGGGTTAGTGACCTGGGCCAGGGCTGAAACCTAGGGACCTGGACAGGCTGAGGGTCTGGCTCTGGTCTTCCTGTGGTTCTGAGTGGCACCTTGGAAGGAGAAAGGTATCTGGCCCCCTGGAGCTCTTAAGATCTTCCACTGTAGCTCATAGCTGGACTTGAACTCTGCATCCAGGCCATGGTGCTGCCAATGTGAAGTTCTGCTAGCTGACTGCAGGCCCTGTGCTGGGGACACCTCACACTCCTGGCAGGACCTTTGTCTGCTTTTGTTTTTGTTTTTTTAATTTAGATCCACTATCAGGGCCAAAATACTAAGTAGCTAGTTTACATCATCCTTAGCCAGATGAGCAATGGCTGGGTGCCACAAATTCTCTGCAGGAAAACAAGGAGACCAAATATCCTTGGTTAGGCCCTTGGGTCATTAACTATTCTATGAGGTTTTCAAGGTTTATAAAAAAAAAAATAAAAAATAACAAAAATCAAGCAGCTTTCTGATAGGTCCAACTTTTTTTCTTTCAGTAATAGATACTAAATTAAATTCTCAGGTTAGTGATATCCTCCCTCTAAAAAAAAAATGTCATTAAGTGGTTGTACAAGATGGTTTCAACATATCATAGCAGTTTATGAGTACAATGCATCTTTTTTTTTTTTTTTTTGGGTCCGGTCATGGGGCCTAAACTCTGGGTCTGGGCACTGTCCCTCAGCTCTTCAGCTCAAGGCTAACACTCTACCACTTGAGCCACAGCGCCACTTCCGGCTTTTTTCTTTTTGCTTATGTAGTGCTGAGGAATCGAACCCAGGGCCTCAGGCATGCAAGGCAAGCACTCTACCACTGAGCCACCTTCCCAGCCCCAGTACAATGCATCTTAAGGCCATACCTTCCATCTCTCTCATCTATCCCAACCTGTCTCCTCAGGTTCCTCGGCATCCTCTTTTTGGCTAAACCTCGGCATTTCTGCCCAAGGAATCTCTCCAGTTAAGAGCAAAGAGTAAGGAACTGGAAAGGGTTAATTGAGAATGCCTTGCGGTTGATCAACTTGCCACATCTGCAAAGGGCTGCCAGCTCCCGGTGGAGCTAGGGGAGGAGGGGGGTTGGGGAAAGTCTCTGGCAGGGTTTTGGGGAGCAGGCTGGGTGACCTGTGCCTTTGGTTTCTGGGAGCCCACACTTGGCTCCCTGAGGCCTGGAGGGTGAGACAGCACTAATTCATCCTCTTTCCTGCCTCTGAGTCCCTGGCTCCCTTTCCTAGTTTCCTGGCCAAGAGGCTCAGCATCCACAAGAGGAGGAGGTGCATGGGGAGTAGAAGCCAGGAAGCAGAGGGGCGGGGGAAGCAGAGGGGCGGGGAGAAGCAGAGGGGCGGGGCTGTCATCAGACCCAGACCCTGCCTCTCAATGCTCAGATAGAAAAGTCCCAGCCCTGTCCTGCAGAAAGCACTAGGCTTGGTCACAGGGAGCATCATGGCCATGACGCTGGGTTACTGGGACATCCGTGGGGTAAGGAGGCAGGGGTGGTGTCTTACCTCTGTGTGGGTGGGAGACTCAGCAAGAGGCAAAGAAAGTTGTGAGTATTTGGATAGATTCTAGATCAAGAATCCTCTGAAGGCTTTCTGGATTTCTGTGGTATAACAGCACACAGGTGCTCTCTGTCCGTCTGTCTCTCTCTTACATGCACGCATACAACTACACACACATGTGTAATGCAGGTGTGTGTAGGTAGGTGTAGGCTATGCTGACCTGGAGAAGGTGAAGTCCCACAGCCTCCCTGTCTGACCTCTGTCACCTGCCATCTCTTCCAGCTGGCTCACGCCATCCGCCTGCTCCTAGAATACACAGGCTCAAGCTATGAGGAGAAGACATACAGGATGGGGGATGGTAAGGACACCTCTTGGCCAGGCCTTTGTCCAACCCCTGCCCATTAGTGACCAACTCTGTAGGCCTCCATTACCTACACCCAGGGCCTATCTCTTCCCAAAGCCTGTAGGAGGCAGTTTGGTATGCCATTGCAGGGATCTGGGAGAGGAGGGCTGGGGTCCCCTCTGTCTGAAGTTGGGTGGGGTTGTCTAGCACTGGCCTAAACCTTTTGTGACCCTGGTCCTTAGATCCCTCAGCCCTCACAGCATTCTTCACCCCTGTAGCCTTGGAATGTGGGACACAGATGGTCAGAGTGCAGATCCACTGCCTCAGGGGGTCCTGGGGAAGGAGGGCTGGACTCAGGAAAATTTGCTTTTAATTGATCTTGTCTACCACAGCTCCTAACTATGACAAAAGCCAGTGGCTGAATGAGAAGTTCAAGCTGGGCCTGGACTTTCCCAATGTAGGTACAGGGGAAGGGGTGGTCTAGGGAAGTGTGGCCTCCCTCCTTCCTTCCCTCCTTTCCTTGCCCAGCTGAGAGTTTCTAGGATCAGTGCTTTTGCTCTCTTTCCCTCTTTCCTGGCTGTCTCTGGTTCTATGATGCTTTATGCTCCAGTTCTTGCATTCATTCTGTAGTGTATTCATGTAGGGCTCACCATGGCCAGGCACACTGAGTGCCAGGTCCTGTGTCTGCTCTAACCCAGAGAAGGGCTGCTGGGACCTGGGGCCCCTTGTGACCTTCCCTGCTTGTCCATCCAGCTGCCCTACTTGATTGATGGAGCTCACAAGATCACCCAGAGCAATGCCATCCTACGTTACATTGCCCGCAAGCACAACCTGTGTGAGTGGGGCTGGCGGCTGGGTGTGTGTGGGCACAATGGCTAGCCCCGGGGCTTGGCTGGGGCAGGATGGTGAGGATGCATCTGTATGGCCACAGGTGGGGAGACAGAGGAGGAGAAGATTCGTGTGGATGTTTTGGAGAACCAGGTTTGGGACATCCGCATTCAGCTTGTCATGGTCTGCTACAGCCCTGACTATGTGAGTTTCCCAATTGTGCTGTACCTGGCAGAGTTTGGAGCAGGAGTTAAACTGGGTTCACATGCATGCTGATCTTGTTTGTCATTTGAACTCTTTGTCATTTCTGATTCCCCACAGGACTACTTATTCATCATGATCAAAATCTGGCCATGTAAACACCAAATCAATTGCCCAATCTTAGGGAATAATTTAGCTTAGAAGTTTTGAAATTCAGTTGTTAGACTTTAGAGTTTGTTTTTAGGATCCCTTTCATCTCTGACCTTTAATTGAGCAATGGGCTCTCCCAAGATGTGGTCCCCCCACCCCTCTTCCTGCTTCTGGAATAAGAAGACTCAACCCAAGAACAAGATAGTGGAAAGTAATGCACCTTAGTCTCCAGCCCTCTGTCCAATGGTTTCCCCAAAGTTGTGCCCTTAATACCACCAGTAAGAATAAAGACTGTTTCTTAATAGTCATCCCAGGATCAGCCAGAAGATCACCATCCCTTTCCTTCCTTCCTTTCAGGATCAGACATTCTGATGGGCACTGGTGGTCTGAAGTTAGCCCTAGCAGGAAAGTCTGTGAAGACTTATCTCAAATTAACCAACAATACACCAGAAATAGAGCTGTGGCTCAAGTGGTAGAGTGCTAGTCTTGAGCAAAAAATTAAGGGACAGTAGCTAAGCTCTAAGTACAAGCCCCAGTACTGGCATACACATGCATACATGTATGTGCACACACATACAGATCAAACATTCTTCAACTTTCCTGAAAATATGCCAATATTCACCTGCCATCCATTAGGTACAACTTCCCTCCTGGGGTCTTTCAGTTCTTGCTTCTTTAATTCCCCAGTACTGGCACACACAAAAGATGTCCCGATGAGGGGCTTTTATCTGAGGGTCCTGACTTGCTGTTTTTTGCCTCAGGAGAAGCTGAAGCCTGAGTTCTTGGAGGGCCTTCCTGACAAGATGAAGCTCTTCTCCCAGTTCCTGGGGAAGCGGCCATGGTTTGCAGGGGACAAGGTAAGGAGGAGGGCCACAGGGAGGAGAACTCTTCTATTGTCACACTTTATGTGAGAATTCAGCCCACTCATTCTGTCTCTGCAGATCACCTTTGTGGATTTCCTGGCTTATGATGTCCTTGATATCCACCGAATGTTTGAACCCAAGTGCCTGGATGCGTTCCCCAACCTGAAGGACTTCATGTCCCGCTTTGAGGTGACACCCCCCAGTCCTCTTTCCTCATGGGTAAACGTCTTTTCCCCCTTTCCATGATGGCTTTCCATGATGGCTTCCTAGTCCTGGAGCTGAGTGAAGAATAATGAGGGTTTACTGAGTGCTGGCTTTCTGGCAGTCCCTGTGCTTAGCACCATATATAGTGAGCCAAGTTTATCATTATAGCATTCCTATGGGTGGACAGAGCAACCCTTCCCATTGGACAGATTAGGAACCTGAGGCTGTAGAGGGTGAGCAGCTTATTGAAGGTTCCAGTGCCAAGGGAGGTTGTGGTGGGCCTCTGGCTTAGTCTAAGGGCAACAGTCCTTGGCTGTCCTTGATTTATAGTGGAAGGAAAATCTTCAGGCCTTCTGCAGCCTGGGTTTCCTGCCCAGGACCCTGTGGAGAAGGAACACAAAAGCGTATACAGGTGTCATTGAGTAGGGTGAGACAAGTTGAGAGTAACTGAGAAGTATCAAGAAACACAGACAAGAGTCACTGTTGCTCTGCAGGGAGGTTTTACATACAGTTATGACCCCCTAATGAGAAGGCACCAAGACTGTAGTTGGTGCTTGACGAGTAGCTATGTGGGGCCCCTGTTGGAGGAGTTTATCTTCAGGTGTTCTATGGTAGGGACCTTCTGCCCCTCTTCTGTTTTCTTTCAATATTCCTGTGTTGCATCTGTGAGAGGCTCATATACTTTCTTTTATTTCTTCCTTTGTTTCTTTTCTCTTTTTTTTGTTATTGGTCATGTTCTTAAACTCAGGGCTTGAACACTGAGCTTTTTTGCTTTTTTGCTCAAGGATAGTGCTTGACCACTTTGAGCCAGCTCCACTTCTAGTTTTCTGGCAGTTAATTGGAGATAAGAGTCTCACAGACTTTCTTGCCTGGGCTGGCTTTGAACCTTGATCCTCAGATCTCAACCTCCTGAGTAACTAGGATTACATGTGTGAGCCACCAGCACCTGGCTAATTTTCCTTTCTGTTTGCTGACCTTCTCCTGTGTAAGAGGCTCTAAGTCAGGCCTCATACAACATATAAAGAGCTCCTTCATGCCTAATCTGCAAATGAGTATAGCAGAAAGTGCCCAAAACACCACCTGGGTTCTGAGAATACAGCTTGGACCTCATGCCACAGTTGATAATGATGTACTGAAAGTGCACTTGTTTATTAATACCAACAAAGCCTACTTTCTTAGAGATTTGGGAGTCAGAGGCATAATTTGCAACAGTTGTTGTTTTAGCCCGAAATCCATTCTCCGGCCTTCCTCCCCATCAAGTGAAGTCCTTTCTCAGCAAGTTCTTATCAGCTTTGGTTCTGTTCCAGGCTTGGCCTTGGGGTGTTTGAAAGCTCACTGGAGCACAGATAGGGAGGAAAAGGAGCTCTGAGAGCTGCAACATGGTCTGCTGGGTCTGGCTTATTAGATCTAGGCAGTCTTGGATCTCTGAATCCTTTTTGTTGTTGTTGTTGGTTGTGAGGCTTGAACTCTGGGCCTGGGTATTGACTGTCCTTTAGCTCTTCAGCTCAAGGCTAGCGCTCTACCACTTAAGCCACAGCACCACTTCCTGCTTTTTCTGTTTATGTGGTGCTGAGGAATTGAACCCAGGGCCTCATGCAAGTGAGGTAAGCACTCTACCACTGAGCCACCTTCCCAGCCCTCTCTGAATTCTTTTTAGTTACCTGGTTGCTGAACCTTTGTTAAGAAGTCACACAACACAACTAAATGTCATTTGGCCTGGTCCCTATATTAGGTTGCCATGAGGTTGTACAGGGACACAGTGAAATTAGACTCAGGTACTAGGTAGAGAAATTTGGACATTCTGCTCTCAGAGGACTGGGTAGGACCCTGTCCAACCTTTCCCTGTGGGTCTTCCTCCATCTTGAGCACTTTTCACTCAAGGTTTTCTGAGTTGCTTGGGTAAGACCTTGTGTATCTTCCATGCAATGCTGATAAGCTCTCAGCTCCTTTGTTCTTCTAGATCTTTCCTCCTGTGTGCAAATTCAGATGTGCAGAAACTTTCCTGTGAAGCAGAGCCACCCCTGTGGGAAGGGAAGAGGGGTGAGCACAGAAAGCATAGAGTGACAGACAGCCTGGGACTCACTAGTTCTTCTCATTAGCTCTGTAAGGAAGTTGTTTAATCTCTTTGGACCTTAGGTTTCCTACTGATCAGTGGTGAAGGCAGTTTGTATCTTGCAGGATTGCTAAGTGGATTGATGCTTTTTTCTTTTTGTGAGTCATGGGGCTTGAACTCAAGGCCCAGGTGCTGTCCCCTGAGCTCTTTTGCTCAAGCCGAGAGCTCTACTACTTTGAGTCACAGCTCTAGGACTTTCCTGCCTGGGTGGCTCCAAACTGCAATCCTCAGATCTCAGCCTCCTGAATAACTAGGATTATAGGCATTGAGCTACCAGTGCCTAGGACGAATGGATTTTCTGAGCCAATATGGAATGTTGAATATAAAGCACCTTGCCCAGTATCTACAGGACACTCAAGAGGTCCCAGCCCAGAACTGGGGAGCTGAGCAGACTGGTCTTGATTCCCATGCATGGGCTTCTCCTGGAGGGAAATTGCTTGGGTCAGTCTTCACCAGGCCTGAGCTCCTGCTTTTCCTTCCCAATTGCAGGGACTGAAGAAGATCTCTGCCTACATGAAGACCAGCCGCTTCCTCCGAAAGCCTCTGTTTTTAAAACAGGCCACATGGGGTAACAAGTAGGGGCCCTGTAATGCCAATACACACACGTGGAGAGGATCTGCACCTGTGGCCCTCTTGCTTCTTAGCACTGCTGCCTCAGTCTTCTCAATCCTTTGTCCTTCCTTCTCCTCCCTTCTCGGCAAAGGCCACTATCTCCTTCTATTCAGACCCCTCTACAGTTGAGCCTCTGTAAGCTTCAGATCCCAGTTTCTTCAACAAAGCCTCTACCTTCTTGTTCTTGCCCTGAATCTAACCATATAGCCTCTGTCCTGCTTGGAGGAGCTTGATTGACCCCAGTACCCCTGAAGTTCCTGCACCAGTTTTGTGTGTTCAGGCCCTGGTTCCCAGTGTGGGGGCTGCCCAGCCTTATGTTACCCCCAGTAAAGCCTGAGCCACACTTACTCTGTGTCTTGTCTTATTGCCTCTGGCCCTTTGGGTTGTGTTCACAAGGTTGAGGTTCTTTGCTCTATTGTCCAAAGCTGGGCTGAGTGAGGAGCTGTATGGTGTCTGGGTCATTAAATGTACCTGTATCCAAATCCCAAGTCCTGCAGAAGATGCTCCTTCTGTGCCAGGCAGCTCACTGGCTCAGGAGCATGTGGTTCCTCCAGTGGTCATGGGCAGTGTGTATCATGCTTCAGAGCAGTGCTGTGCTGATGCGAAGGCCCCAAACATCATGGGCCAACCGCTTTCTGACCTCCTATCCTGGAGCCTTCTCTGATCTGGAGATGGTCCTCTCTTCTCAAGATATATTTCACATAAACGTTTCCTGCCAAATTGTAGTTGATGTGTATATTTTCCCTCAATTCAGTTGTAAGTTTATTTTAGGAGGGAATCTAAGCCTTGTTGAACTTTTTTTTTTTTTTTGCCAATCACTGACCTGAACTCTGGGCCTGGGCGCTGTCCTTCAGCTCTTCAGCTCAAGACAAGCGCTCTACTGCTTGAGCCACTTCTGGCTTTTTCAGTTTATGTGGTGCTGAGGAATCGAACCCAGGGCCTCAGGCATGCAAGGTAAGCACTCTACCACTGAGCCACCTTCCCAGCCCTTGTTGAACTTTTTTTTATCTCTGATATGTTTGCTAGTGCCTGGCATATCACCAATGTTCAGGAAACTTAGAAATTCAAAACAGTTATCATCAGAGAAGCCTGTGTTGTCATTATGGAGTTCAGATCTCTGGAAATGTATATATACAGTCTGAGCCCAAAGGGGGATAAGGATTTTACATGTAAGGGCTTAGTTGTGAGCCAGGAACTCTTTCTTTTACAAGCACTTAAGAAGCCCCAGTTGTCCTAGCAAGAGTGTGATCTGAGATGGACAGGCCCAGTGTATGGGGCCTCAGCACAGCGTGTGTGGTGAGAGGTCCTTGAGCTTTCTATCAGTGGGATTCAAGACAGAAGCATGTGATGAGCAAGCTCTGAGACAGCAGCTGGATCTTGGGCTCTGGCCTTGGTCAGGTACTGCCTGAGACTCTGCTGTAACAGGGAACAGATCCAAGGAGGGACCCGATGGGAATTTGTCCATAGTATCACTGCGCGCTTCTGCTGCCTTGTCTTCTGAAAAAGCAAGGGAACCCAGGCAGCATGTTAGAGATCACTGTGAAAAAAGTGGCCAGTTAAAAATACAAATCTGGTGAGAGGTCATGGAACCAAAAGTTTATCTGTGTGCTGGGCACTGGTGGCGCAAGCCTGTAATCTGTGATCTGAGGATCATGGTTCAAAGCTAGCCCGAGCAGGAAAGTCCATGAGACTCTATCTTCAATTAACACCAGAAAACTGGAAGTAGTGCTATGGCTCAAAGTGGTAGAGCATTAGTCTTGAGCAAAAGAGCTCAGGGACAGCGCATAGGCCCTGAGTTCAAGCCCTACAACCAACAAAAGAAAAGAAAAATCTGTGTGTGCGTGTGTGCGTGAGTGTGTGGGTGCGCGCGCGCGCGCGTGTGTTTGTGTGTGTGTGTGTGTGTGTGTGTGTGTGTGTGTGTGTGTGTACCCAGGCACACCAGTTTTGGGAGTTTTACTCAGGGCATTTCATTATTGTTTGTTTGGTGTTTTTCATTTGTTTTTACACAGTGTTGGGGCTCTGCCATGTGAGACACACCTCCACCACTAGATTTTTTTAGGACCAGTATTGGGGCTTGAACTCAGGGCCTGGGCACTGTCTCTGAGCTTTTTCACTCAAGGCCAGTACTATACCACTTTGAGCCACAGTGCCACTTCTGGTTTTCTGGTGGTTAATTGAAGTTAAGCTCTTGTGGACTTTGCGGGCCCCAAATGGCTTCGAGAGCCTTAATCCTCACCCCCTGAGTAGCTAGGATTACAGATGTGAGCCACCAGTGCCAAGTCACTTCTGGGTTTTTATTGGTTAATTGGAGATAAGACTCTTTCAGATTTGTTTGCCTGGGCTGCCTCTGAACTTTGATCTTCAGATCTCCCCCTAATGAACAGCCAGGATTCCATGCCTGAGCCACCAGCACCCAGCTTTCAAAATTTATTTAACCCAAATCTGCTTAATTAAACACAAATAATACGTGAGCCTTTGTCTTCTACGAGATCTATGCCGGTCTCCATGGACTATGGGCTTAGGGTATGATATAGCATTGTAGTTACAATTGCTGCATATGGGTGATCCCATTGTGGTGATTCTACTCAGGGCTGGGCAGAGTTAGATACTTCCCTATTTCACACTGCACGGCACACGAAGTACAGATTTGGGACAACCCTAGTTTATTTTTTCTTTCTTCTTTATATATATATTTATTATAAAGCTACTATACAGAGGGGTTACAGTTACATGAGTAAGGTAATGAGTAAGTACATTTCCTATCGAACATTGTTACCTCCCAAATCTAGGTTTTGATCACTCTCTCAAACAACAATAAAATGCGAGCCAGGTCTCATGGGCAACCTACACTTAGGTCACCAGCTAGCACTGAAATAGTGGGAGTGCCCATAGTCCCAAAGTTAAAAAATAAACAAACCCCTTAAAACTAAATAGGCTGCTTAAGTTTCCGGAAAGGCTAGCACAGACAAAGCCATATTACAAAAACAGGATTAAGCACTTAAGCCTTTAATATCCAGATGATGTCACAAACCAACAAATATCAGCAACTTTCAGGAAACCATGACCTTACCTAATGGTCAAAGATAGGCACCAGAAATTGACCATATAGTGACTAATATAGATGAACTTCTGGATGCAGAAATAGCTGTTTAAGGAAGTAAATGAGCTTTAAGAGAACACAAAGAAACAGTTCTCTAACATAGAAATTTAATGGATTGATAGAAACAAGCAAGTAAGAAAACAAGAACCCTAGCAACCTTCAAGATGAAAAGTACTCGAAGCATATTGTAAGTGCAGGAATCAAAGAATAAATAGAATAAACAGAATAATCAAGAAAGAGACTTGAAGATAAAACATTTGAACATATAGAAAAAAAGAAAAAAATAAGAAACTATATAGGGATCTAAGGCAGCATTAAAAGAACAAAGATCTAGAATTATCAAGAAAGCCTTGACAATGCCTAGAGAATAGAAAACTTGGAGAGTTAATAACATGAAAGTTCCCAAACCTCAAGAAGGAGACAAATATCCATGTATGAGGAAGTCAAAGAGCACTAGTCAGAATTAACAAAACCAAATCTTCAAACACATAATGAAGTTTTCATAGCACAGCTGGAAGATAGAGATTCTCAAGGCAGTAAGAAAAAGAAAAAACAAAAGGAGGGGTTCCTCATTCACAGCAGAACTTCTTAGAGGAAATTTTGTCAACTAGGAGAGCACAGAATGATTTTCACAGTACTGAAGGAAAATGAAATCTTTGTTCCTAGGTTAAAAACAAACAGGCAGGGTAGCTCACACCTATTCTAGCTACTCTGGACCACTGAGATCTGAGGTTGTTCAAAGACAGCCCAATCAATTTCCTTTGAGATTTCATTTCCAATTAACCACTAGAAAACCAGAAGTAGAGCTGTGGCTCCAAGTGGTAGAGCACTAGTCTTGAGCAAAAGAGCTCAGGGATAGCACCTTGGCCCTGAATTCAAACCCCATGATTGAAAAATAACTCCCCCAAACAAAAACAACCATAACAAAAGCAACAACAACAACAAAAAGCCTAAGAGAGTAACTATCCCTAAGACATGTCCTACAAGGAATTCTAAAGGGAACTTAAGCCCCAATACTGACCCCCAAAAAAAATCCAGAAAAGGAGGAGTGTCTCAAGTGGTAGTGCACTAGCATTACATAAAAACAAACAAACAATAATGAATGCCCTGAGTTCAAACTCACAGTTTGAACTCACTTTGAAAGATGTTAATGAGTGAGAAGAAAGCATCAGAAGAAAAAAAATCTCTGGAAAAATAACTCCACAGAAAAACTCAGAAGCTTTACTACTATAAACACGGCATGGCAAACCATTCATACTTTCAATATGAAAAATGAAATCAGGGACTGGGAAGGTGGCTCAGTGGTAGAGCGCTTGCCTTGAGCTGAAGAGCTGAGGGACAGCACCCAGGCCCAGAGTTCAGGCCCCACGACCGGACCCCCCCCCCCAAAAAAAAAAAGAAAAGTGAAATCAAAACAACTAAAATAATAACTACATTAATATGTTAAGAGATAGGTAATGAACAAAAGATGCAAAATGGGATATCAAAAATGGGGACGCTTGGCCCCTGCCTGCCTGCAATCCTAGTTACACAGACGTCTAAGGTTGGAGGATCTAAGTTCAAAGCCAACCCAGAGATTCTTATCTCCAATTACCATCAAACTACCAGAAGTGGAGTTGTGACTCAAGAGACAGAGCATTACCCTTGAGCAAATAAAACTCAGGGACAATGCAGAAAACTCAGCCCACACAGAAAAATCTGTGAGACTTTTAATTACTTTTACTTAATCTCCAGTTTACTGGCAAAAATTCAGAAGTAGAGGTGTGTCTCAAATAGCAGAGCATCAGCCTTGAGTGGGAAAATGCTCAGTTAAAGCATGAGGCCCTGAGTTCAAGCCCCAGTACCAGGGTCTAAAATCAGGTTTCAGCTTTGGTGAGCCAGTCAAAAGAAAATGTCCTCATGAAGCAGTAGCCAAGGACAGCTAATTGACATTGGACAGAAAGGAGAGATGGAATTTGCACCCCTCAGCTATGACATTCTTCTTGTCTTTCCATTTGGGCCCTCATTTGCTGCTTTTTTTTTTTTTAAACCACCAGTTGGTGAAAGGGAGATTTAAATTAACTTGGAGGCCTTTTTGGATCCCTGGTTAAATGCTCTCCAATAGGGGATAATTGGACCCTGCTTTTCTTTTCTTTTGAATAGGCTGCTTGTTTTGCCAAGAAAATTTGAAATTCTGCGTTTGTTGCCTCATTTCTTTGTTGTTTGAGCTCTTTTGAACTATTTGGCCCTAGGCCATTTTTTTC